CTGTTATATTAAAGTTTTTACTTTCATTACCCATTCAAGCCGTCTCCAGCCATTAATAGGCACTTCATGTTGTGCAGCAAAGTAAAGCCCAGCCAACACAAATGGAGAAATGTAGATGGGTACTGTGGCACTTGTATGTTCAGTAACGAGCACGTGAAATTGTGATGTACCATTTTTATAAACAACCAAGCCATGCTCCTTAGAGTGTACTGCAGCTAATGGTCTCCATAACTCTAAGGCCAGAGATTCCCCAAACTATGCATAATTCAAACACTGAAGGGCATCTAGGTGTTACCTTCAATTTTGCTAACATTTGATGGTGGTTCTACTGGCTGCATTCGAATCCAGATGTTCAGTGCTTGTATGAATGTATATAGCATGTGCCACTTAGATAAAAGAAACAGCCAAAACAGTCTAATCTTCAACAGAGAATTCTATTATCTTCTCTACAGAAGATAACCCTGTATATTGCTGGTTCACTCCCAGAAACCACGAGAAAGCATCAGTACAAACTCATTGGCATTGACTACTTCTTGAAGTGGGCCAAGGCTTATCCATTGGTGTATACATTTTGACAGTCTGTAGCTCATATGTTGGTGGACCACTGAATTGCATGGTTCAAAGAACTACAAAAGACCCATATATATCAGGGATCTAATTCCAGTAGCCAGTTGTTCGCCGAGTTGTATAAAGTGTGACATGTGGTGAAGACATGTACTTCATACTTCACTTTATTAGCCTCAGTTTGGTGAGTTAGCAGAATGGGTAGTACAAAATACCAAGTTTGTTATTCTTTGCCAAATGATTGAGATGAACACTAGCTATAGATTATGATGTTGCAACAGTAACTGAATAGAGGTATACAGGCCTGTTTTTTTAAAATTATAATAATTTCATGGGAAATTCTGCTCACTGTTGATGTGATGTATGGTCATCCCCTTCAGCAGACATTCCACAATGTCCACACGAATATGTGGAGTGGTCCAAGTCTGCATTAGTTGATGTGCATGAGCTTGCCCATCAACAACTAAGAGAGGCTGCCAGTCATAAGAAGTGCTATGATAGGATGGTAAAAGAACTAATGTACCAGTGCAACAATTGGGTCTGGTTGTGGTGCATGTCAGCAGCCCAGGTCCAGCTAGGTAGATCTGTAGTTCACACTCTAACAAATTGGTCCAGTTACGGCAGACGAGAGACACGCGAATCTTGTGGAGTACATTATCAAACTGCATCCATACACCACAGATGAACTTGGCTTGATCAAGAGTCTGAGTTGGAGAAGGATGCTGGATAAAGTGGTATTAACTCACCTGATAAGAATAAAAGGACTAAAAACACTTGTATGGTTCAAACTGTGATGAATCAGAGGAAAAAATGTTAGAGATAGAGGCATAATACAGCTCAAACAGTCGGCTAAACCATCAATGACAGCCTTCGATAAATATCGGCGGGTTTAGCTGACCATCACAAAATAAGGTTGTCACTGATTGCAGGATCACTAGCTGAGAGGAATTGGAAATCCTTGGTTTCTAACCCTTCATGCAATGTTCACAGTACAGTGTATAAACTGCGTTGTCTCATTTCCAGTAGATTATCACAGAGTTATGATTGCTTGCTGATCATGAAATTAAAGGGCATGAAACAACTCTTGCTTTCTGAGCTATCAAGTAGTCTCTTTTCAGATGTCCACCAGGTATTAAAAGATAGTTTGCTCAATTATCAAGTTGGAATGGCTAGTATTAGTGGATATAGTGCCCAGCTTACTGTTAGTTTGTACAACTGAAGGTGAGAGGTAGTACTGAAAACTTAGATAAAAGGGCATTACAGCCATTGCTCTCTGAGTTATCAGGTGGTGTTTCTTGGTATAATGTAAGCACTACATTTTTTATTGCCATTTCATTTACTTCATAAGATAGGATGGTAATGTGGGTGATAAACCAATGACTGAAAGGGCATTGTGACCTTTATTTCTGAGTCAAAAAGTGAAACGTTTTGGTACGATATTTTGTCCAATGTTTTAAGAAAATCACTCGCCTGTTATAGCTGAAATGGTGCTTGGTCTTTTCTAGATTCTTCCCTTATGATGTTTCTATATGCAGTGAAGGAGTTGCGTTTCATCAGAGTATACGTTGATATATTGAGTTCAGTTTGATGGTCCCTAGATGGCTGAACATTACAGATAAGTGCCTACAGAGATTTATCTTTTAAAAAGTAACCCGAGAACGTTACGAAAGTAATTTCCATAGGAACCAAAGACAGTCTTTTTTATAAACTACTGGTGTATATATCAATGTGTAATGATGATATATGTAAATGGAAATATACTTGTATAAATAAGTAAAACGTTATATTGCATCACTCATTCTCTTTTCCCTAACTTAAAAAAACATTAATGAACAGTGAAATGAAAAATTTTAAAATATGAAATAAAATAATAATATTTTTTCTCTGCACTAACCGCAATATTAACCAGAATGTTCCAAGTTAGTTTTCTTAACATTTTCATCTGTTTTCTTTTAATTTTACGGTTTTATCACAGTATTTTGTACCACTGGAATAGCAATTCTTGAATAAAAAGCCACAACTCATAATAATAGATCATTAGCTGTTTCGCATAGAGGTAATGTGACCTAGCGTTATATTTCTCATTGGTGCTCCAACTAGTATAATTTTAGAAGTTTTATTTTACTGTAGTTTTGTTAGGCTAAGGTAACAAGTTTTTAATGTTTATATTTTCGTTACTTTTGTTAAAAAATATTGTAACAATGTATTCTAACATTGAGTGGGTTCCTTAAGATTATCTGTTCAAAATAAAATTAAAAGCAAGTCCAGTCATGTAACGATAACAAATTAGTTTATTTCTTCTTTAACGTTTTCTAAATGTTCCTTTCACACGTAAGCCTAACTTCACAAAAAAACAACCTGTCAATAGAAATTCTGGGACTAATGGCGGCTTTGCTTACTAATGAACTTACTTGTTAAGGTTATACTTCTTCTTTCTAATTGATTGATAACAAATACACTTCCCACCAAACATGCTCGCCCTTTCAGCCGTGGGGGCGTTATAATGTGACGGTCAATCCCACTATTCGTTGGTAAAAGAGTAGCCCAAGAGTTGGCGGTGGGTGGTTTATGACTAGCTGCCTTCCCTCTACTCTTACACTGCTAAATTAGGGACGGCTAGCGCAGATAGTCCTCGCGTAGCTTTGCGCGAAATTAAAACAAAACAGAAAAACACTGTTTAGCTTACCAACTGAACCACAGGACTGAATAAATCGCCGACTGACATTTAATTGATTCACTCATTGGCTCTCAATGAATACTTCACTGATTTTTGTATTTATATTTTACGCTTGTTTCTATATACTGCATGAAATCTGTAGATTCTACAGAGGCCTTAACTTTCATGAACATTCTAGATATTTCTTTATGTGTTTTCTAACAAACGACCATCTAAATTATAATCTTGTTACGACAGCGGGGGTCAGGTGACGCTAGTAACGCATCATATTCTCGAACGTTCACGTCCTTCCTGAAGTCTCGAGGGGCTAC